GTTTATTTCTTTCCCGTACATTAATGAATCACCATTTCTGATATTATGCCTCGGTGATCGATTAAGCCAAGTTGAGTAATGGTTTATATTAGGGTAAATTACACAATTAGTCCCTGCAATTTAAGTGAAGTATCACTTTAGTTTTTGTAATTTTAATTGGAACAATTTAAATCTATACTTTCAATTCTATTGTAATGGGATTCCTTCGTCATTTATTGTTAAACTTTGAAACGAAAAAAAAAAACAAAAAACCATGTGCAAAATTAAAGCATCAAAGTCAAACTTTGTTTTGAATTTTACAATGATCCCTCTAATTTTGCGCACGATGTTTTTTCGTTCAAAATGTTAACAATGTATGACAAAAATATCACATTACAACAAAATTAAAAATATATGTACGAAACTGTTTAAATTAAATTTATGAAAATCAAAATGAAAGTTTACTCGAACTAAAGGGACTCGTCCTGTAATTTTCCTTAGTAAATATTGGGTGATTATTGGGTATTCTGGGAGTGCGGTCACATGATGTTCTATTGTATTATGATTGGTGGATAATGTGAGGTATTATAATTTTATATTGGGTGATTGACGAATATAAAGGTACAATGAATGATGATTGATAAAAGAACATGGATATATAATACTCTAAGAATATTTTTGAGAAATTAATTAAAAACTGACTTTTTATTTTTATTTTTTTATTTTTTTTATCTTTTAATAAGTAAAAAATATAAAAAATAACACGACCAAAATAAGTTAAAAGCCGAGTTGCCAAAACAGCCCCGAATAATTTTCCGGGGTTGTCATTACCATGGTCTTTTTCTTGCCTTTCACATCCTTCTGTTCTGTCTCCTATGACAAGTCATTTACCATGAAAGGCAACCGAGGAATTGTAATCGGATGTGGAAGGAATAATATTCTAACTTATTCCAATTATTATCTGAAATTTTCAAATTTCACTTGTCATTAAAATGTCGAATGATTTTCTAACTTATTCCAATTCTTATCTGGAATATTCAAAGTGTACTTGTCATTAAAATGTCTTATATTGCTCACACCACAAATTAGATAATGTGCAAAACACATGACCCATATATTAAATTTTTAGGGTAATATTATTTATTAATGATTGTTTTAGGATAACTATGCTTGGTTCCATTTTTCCAAAAACAGTTTTCAAAAAATTTTACTTTCTTATTTTTCGTATTTTTTTATTTTTACTGAATTTTTTTAATATTTTAAGAATTTTTTTTTTTTACTTTTTAGACATGCCTAACATAATTATATCTAAAAAGTAAAAAATTTGTGAAAAAAACCTTTTAAAAATTCACTAAATACTAAAAATAGAAAAAAAATACAAAAATTATGTACATTTTTTGTATTTTTATGTATTTATTAATTTTTTAAAATATTTTTTTACAAATTTTTTACTTTTTAGATACATTTAAGTAAGGTGCATCTAAAACAGTAAAAAAAAATGTTTAAAATGTTAAAAATATTTACTAAAAATAAAAAAAAATACGAAAATCAAAAAACTTAGTTTTCAAAAAACTTAATCCAAAAAACTCAAACCAAACACACTGAATACTCTTATATGGTAATTTTATTTGTACTTTTTTTTTTATCAAGATTTCATTTGTACTTTGTTTCTCTTATCTTAGTAACAAAATGCAAATGGGATAACTATTTTTAGGACATTATTGTCCTAAAAATTTAATAAATATGTCATGTGCTTTACAGATGATCTAATTTTTTATACATTCTTAACAGAATTCTAACAAAATGAGTTAACTGTAATAACATAATATTTTAAGGGATTAATTGTTGAGTTTTGAAATTTAAGCGGCAAAATATAATGGATTATAGTTCAAGAGGTTTTTTTATAAATTACCCAAAAATTTAAAGCATTATATAAAACCAAGCTAGCTTGACTTAGTGAAATACTTCTTTGTGATCGAAAATTAATGTTAAAGATGTTTTGAAACTTAGAAAAATTTTAAGAATAATTCTAGGTGTCTACTTTTAACTTCTCCAAATTTACTTCGAATGGAATTGTGCAGTTGTGATTGAATTTGTGTGGTGTGAAATCTAAGTATAGAATAAATTTGAACCAGAAAATAAAGATTTTGAATAATTTTTGAATTAATAAAGAGAAATTCGTAATATTACTCAATTTTTAAACCAAATTTAAGTAACTTACTCCTCGATTTGAGTTGACTCGTTCAAACCTGAAGATGCTGATGCCTTCTTTGTGGTTGGATGTCCAACACCATATCTTGAAAATTATATACGTCCCCTTTCAAATTGTATGGTCATATTTCTCGTTTTTTTATATTTTTCTATAGACATTTGTGCTTGTCAGTCAAATTAATTGTGGTTATGAAGTTTCGAAGAAAATGATCAGTTTGTCTAATTGAATACTTATTTTTTTGGAAACTTAAAAAACTTTGTGGTTGGAAGTCCAACACCATGTCTTGAAAATTATATATACGTCCCCTTTCAAATTGTATGGTCATATTTCTCGTTTTTTTATATTTTTCTATAGACATTTGTGCTTGTCAGTCAAATTAATTGTGGTTATGAAGTTTCGAAGAAAATGATCAGTTTGTCTAATTGAATACTTATTTTTTTGGAAACTTAAAAAACAAAAAAAAAACAAAAAACAAAAAACAAAAGCAAACTTTAGGATTTGATATTTGTAATAAAATAAGCATTGAGTTTTTTATTATATTAATTTAAACTTTAATATTTTGATTTGTTTTCAATCTAAATTATTTATTTATTTTCGTTAAGAAATACTGATGAAAAAAATTATATTTTAACCATTAAACTTAACAAAAAATAATATTTGAAACATTTTATGTACGTTTACATTGAGTTTAATGGCTAAAATACTCTCTCTCTCTCTCTCTATACATATATATTTTTTATTTTACTTAATAGAAATATGCGAATCATTTAGATTGAAAAGAAATCAAAAAATTAGGAATTAAATTGATAAAATAAAAAATTAAGAGCTTATTTTGTTGGGAGATTTACCAATAAATCCCAAAATGTAAACTTATGAACCAATTGGTCCCATTTGTATTTTAGTAAACCGTTTAGTCCTGGAAAATTCTGAGAGACGTAATTACCCTCATTTAGACACCACTCATCTCTCTTAGCATTCTCTCTCTCACACATGGAGACCCAGCCACACACATATCTTCTCTCTCTAGCAGACACAAGACACCATGCACACAAAACACCATTAACACACACACCCAGCAACCACACTCATACACACCATACACACAACACACACACACAGAGCACACACCAAACCCAGCTCTCTCTTCTCCCTCTAAGACACACCTAGCGCATAACACACACACACTGATGGCTTCAACACACACACTCACACACACACACACACACACACACACACTGATACACACACACAGCACACACAACGCGCTGTAAGGGGTTTTTTGTTTTGGGCTGGGTTGGTGTGTTTGGGGGTTCACACAGGCAGACACACACACATTCATCAAAGACCAAACCACCATTGACACAGTGAAGATCTTCGATGCCAACCCCGACATCCTCCGCGCCTTCGCCAACTCCGACATCTACGTCACCGTCACCGTCGCCAACTCCGACATCCCCGCCGTCTCCAAACTCTCCGCCGCCGTGTCCTGTGTGGCTAACAACATCCTCCTTTCTACCCCACCGCCAAAATCCACCGCATCGCCGTCGGGAACGAAGTCATTGCCACCGCCGACAAAACCGTCATCGCCCACCTCCTCCCCGCCATGAAATCTCTCCACGCCGCCGTCAATCTTGCCGAAATATCCAGCATTCAGGTCTCCACACCTAATTCACTAGGTATATTATCAATCTCGGAGCCACCCAGTTCGGGTCGATTCAGGCGGGTTTTCGACCAGGTCATATTTGCCCCAATCCTTAAATTCCATCGCCAAACAAATACGCCCTTCATGGTCTGCCCATACCCGTTTTTTGGGTTCACATCGAATACTCTGGACTACGCCATGTTTGATGCACAGTTGGATGCGATTTACTCGGTGATGAAAAGGCTCGGGTACGATGATACACAAACACACACAACAGCACAATGATACACACACACACAACACACACACACAATGATACACACACACACACACACAATGATACACATACACACACAAAGATACACACACACAGCAGCCACTGTTACACGCACGCACACAGTGATAGAATAAGCAATGCTTCTAAAAAAGGAACTGATCCAGCAAACACAATCCCACATTAAACCAAAGGCACTCTCGTCCACACAGTTTAAAAAAATGGAAAAAAAAAAAAACAAAAAGGACCAAATCAACCCACTAGCAGGACTATTTGGTATAATAGAATAAAAGTGGGTCTATTTGATATAACAGTTTGTAAAGTAGGATTTATGGGTAAATAATCCTATTTTGTTACCAAAGTCAAACCTTGTTTCTTTTTCGGTCATAATTTCTTATATTTATTTTTTGAGTAAATTACAACTATATATATTCTTTTAAATTTGCTTAAAATATGAATTGCCTCCAGTAAATTTGAAAATTATATCCTGCCCCCTACAAATTTTTAATCACATAACAAAAGATCCCTTCTATTTTTTCGGTACATCGGAATAAAAATGTCCCATTCTATTAATAAAATCATTATTTAATAATTTTTAATGATATCAAAAATATTTCAATTAATAATTTTGGTAATTTTATTGTTGCATAGGAAAGTAGTTATGGATTTTATTTTTTGTGTTAATTCTGTAAATAAAAAAAAATTTGAAATGGATATTTGTAATTTTCAAAATCTCGAGAGGCAATTTATAATTAAAGCAAACGTCAAATGATGCATTTCTAATTTACCTTCTTTTTTTTTATGTTTTATTTTAATAATTGGGTATGTGTGTTAATCGTCTAATCTCGAGAAGCGTCTCCTCCACGCTGGTCCAACAAATCTTAGTCTATGCTACGGTTGTGGCGCCAAAGAAATTGATAGCAATCAATAGAGCCAAGCCAACACCTTGGGTTTCAATAAAAACTTGTTGATGGACCTTTTGTAAAGAAGAATGTAGAGCATATCTCTTCGCTATTGTTATCCGATTTCTGTTCTTATCTGTCAAGCATTTCGGCTAAAATTAGCACAAATGTGCTCTCATATTAGGCAGATTAACAAAGATGCACTTTCAGCTATGATTTTCCTAATGTTGTCCCTGTTCTTGCTCAGTGACTCTGTTTCTTCAGATACTAAATCCATATCTTGTGATCCAAGTCCAACTAATTACACACCAAATAGCCGATTTGGGAACAACCTCAACATCCTTCTTGAGTCCCTATCATCGAACACTCCATTAAATCAAGGCTTCAACAGCACTGCAATCGGAAACAACATTGATCAAGTTTATGGGCAAGCTCTTTGCAGAGGGGATGTCACTCCTGAAGTGTGTCGGGATTGCATAAAGAATGCAAGCCAGGAGATCATGACAGTGTGTCCAACCCATAATGCAATTATATGGCATGAATTCTGTCAAGTACGATACTCACACATGCCTTTCTTTTCCTCCATGGTCTATAATGGAATGTATCCTGCCTCGAACAAACAGGAGAAAAGTATATCAGACCGTGTTAGTCTTATTAAAGTTTTGAAGGATTTTATGAATAAACTCTCGGATGAAGCCACTGTCAATCCTTCTAACCTCATGTTTGTTACTGGTAAAACCAAATTTTCAAGGAATGAATCAATCTATGGGCTGGTACAGTGCACAAGAGACATCTCTCATAGTGATTGTAGACATTGCTTGAATGATGAATTTGGAGACCTTGAAGCGTGCTGCAGTTCTCTCCAAGGTGGTAAAATTTTCAGCAGAAACTGCAACATGAGGTTTCAGCTATACCAGTTTTACAACGAACCTACTATCAATGGTAAGAAAATTGAATGTAAATTAGTTACTTTGTCTATGCTAATGCCTGTTTGCCACATGTTTGAAGAAAGCAAGAAAACCATATTGCTTGTGTAAGCATCTATTAACAGGTAAAAGCTAGTTGGTTTTAGTCTGAAACCATTTTTGAAGTTTAGTTAGTCAAAATATAGTATACTGTAATGTCGTCTTTTAAATTTTGGGCAAAAATAGTTTATGAAAATTCATAAACAACTTTAAAGTGTTTGCTAATATGATTGTTTTCAATAATTATCCTGAAAACAATTTCCCAAACAAGTCTATTGTCATTAGAATTTTATTATTTTAATAGACAAGTGTATACAATATGAACTGAAATTGAAAACAAAGGTTTTTTCCTAAACAAACAGGGCAAAGAAAGAAGATTACGGTGGCTATGCTAGTTACCGGTGCAACAACATTCGTGCTCGCAGGCCTTGCCGCTGGCTGCTATGTTATTCGGCGTCAGCGAAGCAATGGAACACAGAAGGGTAAATTTACAAAATAGCAAGTTTAAGAACACATAACCAAACACAAAATCGAACACAGAACAAGCGTTTTCTGTGTCCCATTTTGTATTTTGTTTTTGTATTTCAAGGCTTATTGTTGACCAAATGCTAAAGTAACCAACAAACTACATTCCCATACATATCAATGTATTAACTACATTAACAGAACAGTCTCCTGCCCTGCAGATGAGGAAAGAAGCCAAAGTGCGTTGTTACATGAATTGGCAAACTCACCTAGTGTTGCCATTAATCAAGAAGGTCAATTTGTTAGTTCTCAGGAACTGCCTTTCATGGAGTTGGCTACTATAATGGCAGCCACTGACAACTTCTCTGATTCAAATAAGCTCGGACACGGTGGGTTCGGCATTGTTTACAAGGTAACAGTTTCTTCCCTGTTTAATGTGATCAATCAGGTAGTGCTTAATATTGTTTTAAATGACAGTATCTGGGATACATATCGATATCATTGGCAATATTTGATGCTGGCTGATATATCTATCAGTATCAAAAGTCCAAAATATCGGCCGATTTTCGGACCCTAAAAGTTGTAGGCCTTTATCCTTTTTGATCAGTAAATATTTAACTGAAACTATTTTGTTTTTGCTAGCACAATTACTCCGTTGCTTTGTTTTATTTTTCTATTATTCTGCTTTTGTTTTGTCTATTTTTTTTGGGTTCTCACCAACTCGGTATTGTGGTAGCAAATGATTGGGCTTGTTTTTCGGTGCCAACCTAGTTGGGATCATTTGGTTTTGCTTTGATGTTTTTTGCACTCTCATTTTTTGTTGATGTTTGTCATTTGCTTTGTAATTTGATTTTCATCAATAAAGCCCTCTTTTTTGCTGATAAAAAATATATATATTCAACTGAAATTTGTAGGGTGTCTTGTCTGATGGCAAGGAAATAGCAGTTAAAAGACTATCGAGGAAATCATGGCAAGGATTAGAGGAGTTCATGAATGAAGTCATAGTAATTTCAAAACTTCAACACAGAAACCTTGTCAGACTTTTGGGTTGTGGCATACAGGGAGAAGAAAAGCTGCTCATATATGAATACATGCCTAACAAAAGCCTTGATCTCTTCCTATTTGGTTTGTTTTTGTATTTTTCATCTATAGACTTTACTTACAGCTCAATGTAGCTAAGAAAATAGACAAAACATTACCTGGAGAGCTTTAATTTTTTTTCTACGATTTCAGATTTAGAGAAGTGTGTAGAACTTCACTGGGATATGCGCTTTAATATTATTCATGGCATTGCTCGGGGACTACTTTATTTGCACGAAGACTCAAGGCTTAAAATCATACACAGGGATCAAAAGCCTAATAATGTTTTACTGGACCAAGAAATGGTCGCAAAGATTTCAGCCTTTGGAATGGCACGGATTTTTGGCGAAGACCAAAACACTGGTAACACCAAAAGAGTTGTAGGAACATAGTAAGTGTTTCCAATAATTTTAAATATGGGTCAATATGTATCTTCCAATACACCTTAATATGTAATTATCATATTTGATGCAATGGATACATGGCTCCAGAATATGCAATGGGAGTATTATTCTCTGTGAAATCTGACGTCTTTAGTTTTGGAGTAATTTTGCTGGAGATCATTAGTGGGAAAAGAAACAGTGGCTTTTACCTTACGAAACATGCTTCGACACTCCTTGCTTATGTGTGTTTTCTCACCCCCTTGAATTACAATACTGAGATAACTAGATGTTAACTACTTTTTTTTACCCCCTTCTAAATTAGATGTGCTTCCAAACAACTCGATTTTACAAGCATGGCGACTATGGAATGAAGGAAAAGAATTGGAATTTTTGGATCCATTGTTGGCGGGATCATGCCCCGTGACAGAAGTTGTACGATGCATTCATATCGGGCTTTTGTGTGTCCAAGAAGATCCAGCAGATAGGCCCAATATGTCACCTGTGGTTGTTTTGTTGGGAAGTGAATCAGCAACACTTCCTCAACCAAGACAACCTGCAGTTTCTGTTGGCAGAATTGCTCATATGAAGTTATCTTCGACCACAGATCCTTCTGCAAATCAGGACACTATTTCTAGCATATCACCGCGATAACTATCGAAAGGCTGTCTCTTGCCATGCTTATCGTGGCATGCTTTAGCTGTAGATTGAAGTACTCTTTGTACAAGTGGCTGTAGATTAATAATAAGACGATTAACAATAGAACAGATTTGTTTAGGATTAATAATCCAACTAGATTACTGGGATATGTAATTTCTTCTTGTCCACGTTTGTTTTGCAATATATAACATACTTGTCATTGACGCAATTGTGATTTGACCAAATGGTTATTAATATTCGATCAACATGATTTTTTGCAGAGATGAGGTAGTCGATGAGCCCTACACATTAAAAAGTTTAGATTATTGAGATGGACCCAGAGCAAGGCAAGCATATGGACCAATAGCACCCTTTAGTCTGATATCAGACTGGAAAAGAAGCCTCCTGTAGACACCCCATTTTTGACCGTCCTCAAGACTTGGACGTCACCATTGGAACACTCGGTGATTACCCTTGTTTGTGTTCATTTGGAGTTCTCGAAGGTCTCGGCTACGCGCCTTGCCTTAGGATCTCCGAACTCGACTGTTTAGTGTCTGGTTTTGCACCAAACACTTGTGTTTTGCCTTGGAGGGGCAGGGAATGCCTTGTGAGGCATCCCCACACATCACCGGCCATGGACAGAGGCCACCGGCTAGTGTTTTGTTGCCATCGGCAATCTATATTGCCGGTCGGCACTATTTAGGCACTCCTTTTTGTCAAAATGGCAATTTTGAGCAGCCGACTACTGTTCATTTACTTTAGGTAGATATTTTGTGCCAGCTGTGATAGCTGGCACCAACTCTGTTCCCCTCCATACACGTGTATGGAGGGATTTCCCTCTAAGCAAGCTTGTTGTGTAAGCTTTGCAAGAGGGACTTCTATAAGAGGAGAGCTCTTCTCCTTGTTCTTGGTTAGCAAGTTTGAAGAGAAACCATAGCTCATACATATACATACACTCTCTCTCTATATTTCCCCCCTCTCTCCTCCTTTGTGTGTGTTTGGTGGCCTTAAAGTGTATTTCTACCTTAGTTTTGCACTAACACACACACTACCACACCTTGCTTCGACTTTGAGGCACTTTGATGGTTGTTTGTTGAGGTTTTGGGCTGGTTTTGGTCAATAGAAGGTGGCTGGATCATCTGTTCTTCAAAGGTTCTTCAAGGGTAATCACTTTGCTTTAGTTTCCCCAAACTTGCACTAATTTTTTACCTGTCTTGCTTACTGACTTAGGCTGTGTATAACATAAAAAAGGCTTATATTTTCATGCTTAAGAACTTTCATTAAGGGTGTTTTGTGGTTTGAGTTCAAACTCACCCTCTTAGGCCTTATTTGGCCCCTTTTGGTTGGAATGGCACGGATTTTTGGCGAAGACCAAAACACTGCTAACACCAAAAGAGTTGTAGGAACATAGTAAGTGTTTCCAATAATTTTAAATATCGGTCAATATGTATCTTTCAATATACCATAATATGTAATTATCATATTTGATGCAGTGGATACATGGCTCCAGAATATGCAATGGGAGGATTATTCTCTGTGAAATCTGACGTCTTTAGTTTCGGAGTAATTTTGCTGGAGATCATTAGTGGGAAAAGAAACAGTGGCTTTTACCTTACGAAACATGCTCCGACACTCCTTGCTTATGTGTGTTTTCTCACCCCCTTGAATTACAATACTGAGATAACTAGATGTTAACTACTTTTTTTCCCCCCTTCTAAATTAGATGTGCTTCCAAACAACTCGATTTTACAGGCATGGCGACTATGGAATGAAGGAAAAGAATTGGAATTTTTGGATCCATTGTTGGCGGGATCATGCCCTGTGACAGAAGTTGTACGATGCATTCATATCGGGCTTTTGTGTGTCCAAGAAGATCCAGCAGATAGGCCCAATATGTCATCTGTGGTTGTTTTGTTGGGAAGTGAATCAGCAACACTTCCTCAACCAAGACAACCTGCAGTTTCTGTTGGCAGAATTGCTCATATGAAGTCATCTTCGACCACAGATCCTTCTGCAAATCAGGACACTATTTCTAGCATATCACCGCGATAACTATCGAAAGGCTGTCTCTTGCCATGCTTATCGTGGCATGCTTTAGCTGTAGATTGAAGTACTCTTTGTGCAAGTGGCTGTAGATTAATAGTAAGGGGATTAACAATAGAAGAGATTTGTGTAGGATTAATAATCCAACTAGATTACTGGGATATGTAATTTCTTCTTGTCCACATTTGTTTCGCAATATATAAAACCATACTTGTCATTGACACAATTGTGATTTGATCAAATGGTTATTAATATTCGATCAACATGATTTTTTGAAGAAATGATGTAGTCGATGAGCCATACACATTAAAAAGTTAGATTATTGAGATGGACACAGAGCAAGGCAAGCATATGGGCCGATAGCACCCTTTGGTCTGATATCAGACTGGAAAAGAAGCCTCCTGTAGACACCCCATTTTTGACCGTCCTCAAGACTTGGACGTCACCATTGGAACACTCGGTGATTACCCTTGTTTGTGTTCATTTGGAGTTCTCGAAGGTCTCGGCTACGCGCCTTGCCTTAGGATCTCCGAACTCGACTGTTTAGTGTCTGGTTTTGCACCAAACACTTGTGTTTTGCCTTGGAGGGGCAGGGAATGCCTTGTGAGGCATCCCCACACATCACCGGCCATGGACAGAGGCCACCGGCTAGTGTTTTGTTGCCATCGGCAATCTATATTGCCGGTCGGCACTATTTGTTGCCGGTCGGCACTCCTTTTTGTCAAAATGGCAATTTTGAGCAGCCGACTACTGTTCATCTACTTTATGTAGATATTTTGTGCCAGCAGCTGGCACTAACTCTGCTTCCCTCTATACACGTGTATGGAGGGATTTCCCTCTAAGCAAGCTTGTTGTGTAAGCTTGGCAAGAGGGACTTCTATAAGAGGAGAGGTCTTCTCCTTGTTCTAGGTTAGAAATTTTGAAGGCAAAAACCAGAGCTTATACATATAGATACACCCTCTCTCTATATTTCCCTCTCTCTCCTCCCTTGTGTGTGTTTCTTGGCCTAAAAGTGTGCTT